AAATCACTCATGTACTGTTCAAATTACGAGATTTTAAACACAACCACCTTTTTAAATTCTGTCCACGGATCACAAAAAAATGTAAGTGTTCTTTCAGCAAAACGAAAACAATTCACATGGGGATGTACGTGACTTGTTTTCGTTTTGCTGAAAGAATTACGTTTTTTGTGATCCGCGGACAGAACTTTAAAACAATCTGTGCGTTTAAAATTCCGTAACTTGAAAAGTACATGAGCGATTTGAAAGATTCTTGCACTAAAAAAAGCTTATTAATTGGGATTTCATATCCTACATTTTAAAAGTGCTACATTCAGAACTTCATTACAAAAATGGTCCTGCTATTTGGATTTCCTTCGCTTTTTTGACACCCTGTATAACGAACATAGCAAGAATTATAATATTCATAGACGTTTATTAATTCATTGAGGTCTTGTACAAAGAAACTGTCTGCGTTGAACGTTAAAATGTCTTGTTCTTAGTCATTATTTTTATGAGAAAGGCACCTGTAATTGGACTGTATTACTTTTGAAATAATTCAGCTTGAGTGTTCCTCACCGGGCGATTGAGGGCGCTAAAGATAACAGCAACGCCCGCTGTTGATCAGTAGTGGGTTATGCTAATATGATCTGCAATCATGTCATAGTTGTGATTAAAACTCTCAACATAAGTTCTACGTGAAGTCATGTGAACTGAGTCTGTGGCATTTCCTCGTTGTTAATCATCCCACGTTTCTTGTGATTGACTCGTCAAGACGTGTCATCGACAAGTCACTCTAACCTTTACTCACCCTGTAGTATTCACAACCACCATGGGAAGTTTCAAATCTTATTAAAGTCAGCAACAGTGATATTTTACTAACACAAATCATACTAATTGGCTTTCAGCTGACCCGAGTTGGAAAGAAAATATATGTGTTTCTAGTCGGGGTATTAAAAACTGGAAAATCTGCTGCAAACTAGTCGATGGGTGTGTTCCATAACGACTACATTACAAACATATTCTCAGAGAAACCTTTCAGTACTTTCAAACTGCGAGCTTTGATTTAATGCTAATTATCAAGACTGATAATTAGCAATACCAGTATTTTGTGGGCAACTGAAACCACGTTACAACCGGAAATACCCGAGCTATCGCGAACATATCCGAGTGTCGACGGAAACGTAATCAGAAAACTTCAGATATTTTCGGAAACGGGCAGGATCCTGTCCGTTTTGGCCACGTGCCGTGGCGACCACCGGACCTTAGATTTGTCAGAATAGTCAGTGTCTTTTTGGTCTGGGGACCAGACTTCAAAATATACTTAGAAATAAACTGAACTGCATGAACAGTCGTATTTCGACCGAAAACAATACAGTTAGATGACAAGAGAGATTCAAAATGCACTGATCAAAAATCATATTTCTGTACACTGACAAGATCCTTTTCGTATCGGTTACCATTTATTGGGAAAGAGAGATGTCTCCCAAGAAAGACTCGGTTGTCGAAGATGATCGCCTTGCAAGGGTAAAAGATGGAGGTACTGGTTTTTACCGAACACGGAGCGCTGCTCTCCCCGTACACGCGGGGCGATAATGGACCCCCGTTTCCGCCGCTGTCCACGCCCCACGGCATTCCAGATCCCTCCATCCCCTCTCCCTTCCGTAGTTGCATAAAAATCTCGTCACTGCTAAGTGGCGCCGACTACAATATAATATTAATCATAACTGCGGCGGATCAGATGACGATCATTGATTATGATATTTTAAGTACGACTCCCGAGTAAAAAAAAAGCATCCTTTATAGCTGATGGCGCTGTGTAGCTTTTGTTCTTCGGTAACTCCTAGGGGTGTCACGTCACTTTAGCATAAAAAAACCTCTGTTGCTTCTGGGTGTAAAAACGTAGATTTCAGTCATCTCTAAGCACATTTGACGCACTCGTGTTAGGATCTGATGAAGCAACTGCCATACGCCACTACCATCACCAGTTTAATGCACCAGTTAACGTGAAACTAATAAAAATGATATCATCGGAGGTATTTATGGCGCGAAAACTTCAACACTGATTATTGTCCACCGTGGCAAACTAAAAAATTTTTTCGAGATATAAGCAAAGCAGATGGGTATTCGTGAAAACGAATTGACTGCATGATGTTGAAGTCTATGCAGTGAAATCTAGGTGCATCTTTAGTGTCCCTTTGTTTTCGACATGACGTCATCAAACCTTCTTCTTTATACAAAGCACGTGACATGTATCCCGTCAGCCAGTGCGTGAGTTTGTGAGGAAAATTTAGTGAAACTGTAGTGGGGCAGAAACTGGAAAAATTTGGGGGAATTGTGCCTATGTTTGTGATACAAGCTTGGCATTTGGCACATAGTCAGAATATGTCATGAGAAAGATTAATGGCTGTAGGGCCATCGTAGACCTGTCCTTTGAAAAAAAATTGGTAGAATATGACACGCAATTTTCAAAATTTTCAAAATGGCCGCTATTGTTTGTTATTCTACCTATATTTTTTTCAAAGGACAAATCTGCGATGGCCCTATAAAAATAGCCAAATATCTTTTTTAGGACATACATGTACTCTGACTGAGTGCCAAATGCCATGCTTGTATCATCAAAGGCACAATCTCATCACCTTTCTGTCGTATTACTGTAACTGAAATAAGGAATGTTCGTGAAATTGCGGGTTCTCAACAATAACCTTGCATGGTTGGATTCAGCACATTTCATTCTTCATTCTTTTTTTTTTACTCTTACTCTTTAGACATTCAGAATATTTTTCTTTTAAAAGCAACGTTTTTGGATTTTTGGAAATCCAGATAAATGTCTTCAAACAGTCACAGATCTTACATCTTGCGACGAGGAAAAAAAAATGGGAAAAAACTGACTTTTTTTCCATGAAACCAAATTGCGACTAGGAAAAAACATGAAAATAGAAACTGACTTCTTATCCGTGAAACCGAATTGTAGTTTTCGTGGCGCTTATCGCGGAGCAATCTTCAAGCGTCGTTGTGGCGCTCCGCGCCCGGCTCCTCAGGCAAAGAAGACCCGGCTATTTTCATTGTCTTGGTCATCACCGACCTCCCCCCTCAACAGTCGCGACTTGGCCGGGTCTAAAGCGTACACCGTCACATCCTTGCCCCCGTCAAGTGACTCATCTGGACGGCATCAAAAACCCTCCTCCACTCCGCTGGGGCCCCCAGGTGCGAGAAACTGATTGAAACTAATAGCCTTGACTTCCGCAGTTTGGGGAAGATTCCGGAATTTTTAATAATTTCACCAGACTCCCTGGTTTTTTTTGTTCGGTTGTGCGGTGCGTGGTTTGCACTCCTCGTAATAATTAGCGATGTAGGAGATCTTGGAGACCGGACGCTCGGCCATCTTTAAGGGGCCGATCGATCGAATTGGACGGCGGTGGAGGTAGAGCGATCCGCGCTGATATCGGGTCTTGTAAGCATAGTGTTAGAAGCCCACTGGGACATCTCGGGTGACACCGCGCGCGTATTATGTTAGCATCTCAACACGACTTCGGCTTGTTTCTTGAAGGAGATAAAATCTCAAACAACTCTGTTGTATTCTCTATTTGCTTTTTTCCCTTCCCAAAATAAAACTGGAAGTTTTGAGATGATTTGTTGTCTTTATATCGCTACCACCTAGTACCGTATTGGGGATCCGGGTGACGAAGGTGTATATAATAACGCTTAACACAACATCGGTTTTGAATTCAAGTAGGCATTGATTTTAAAATTCGACTCACGAATGCATCTTGCTTAATGTGCGTTTGGTGCTATTTTGCAACATGTAGCTTACAAAAGCATGTTCCAATTTTTGGGGAAATTCTACAAAATAATTATTGGTATCGTGGTTTGTTTTGTTTTTACTATAAAAAGGCAAAAGATTGGACAATTTATGTAGCTGAATCAACAAAATTCCCTTGGTCCATGGGCGAACCGTGGATTAGTCTCGTGCATATTTTGGACAGGGAAAATTAATTAAACATTTTTGAGTGAAGTAGGTTGTTGTTTTATTTTGTCACTGACGGTTTAGATAAAGGAGATACGGTACATTGCCTTCTGGTCAATTTTGAAGAGCAAACAAGATTTGGCAAGTTAAAGGGCACAACATTGTATTTTTACTGATTCATAATTGCTATTCGCTGAAAGTCTCATCACGCATTTGGTCAGCGCTGGGAGTTGGGTTTAGCCCCTTCATTTGCGCTAAGGGGTAATCCTATACGATAGCACTGCCCGGATGTTTTTACCAGCCCACAACCAGTCTAAGTCACAAGTGGCAGTCAGTCAGTCAGTCGGGGAGTCAGTCAGTCAGTCAGAGAGATACAAAGAGGACACTAGGCTATCCCTCTGGGACTAGCAATCGTTCGGTTAATTCTTCTCCAACGGAGCCCAGTTTGAGAGTGTTTTTCTATTTTCACACCCGATTGTACACTTCACACCATGTTGCCTGTTCCAGCACAAGTGCCGATGTCCTTGCTTTTTTTTTATCCGAGCGCCCGTTGCCTGCAACCTCATTCGCGCCCGTAGAACATGGATTTTTGTTTATATTTCTCCCCATGCCCGTGCTAGAGGTGACTTCCCCGCGATGGGCGATCAGTTACCACTAGGACGAACACGTGCTGCGCGGCCTAAGATCACATTAATATGATACGAATATTTGGTACATTATGCCTCTTCGTATTAATGGCATGCCACTCGCGCACCGTCATACAGGATCGCACCTCTCAACGTATAGTGAGTGGCGCGCTAGTTATGAATGGAAGCGCAAGATAGTAGCTGATTATGACGATGTCATCAGGTCACGCCCCCGACGCGCGGCCTACCAATCAACGCTCGCTGTAATGACAGCTCGCGTTTGATTGGCGTGCACTCCTTGGTAGCTAGAAACTATAGTGTTTTCCTTTTTTTTTCTTGCGGCATGAGCGCATGTGGAGAGGCGAGGGGCTGAGAAAAGGTAAAACAAAAAATAAATTCTGGCCCAGATGACCACCCATGTATACCATACCACCTGATCTATGTATCATATACTATCCCTTCACCACCGGGGCAAGAAATGAGCATTTTCGGATGCACACTTGAAACGGTGACCATTTTCCCCCTGCCTTCTATCTCTCTCCTCCGCTTTTTTTTCTTTTCTGTTTTTAAACAAATCACCGACGAAACGCAAGCACCGCGCGTCGTGCCTTTGCATATTTTGGTTGCTTTTCGGAAAAGGGGCGATCTAGGGGAAGGTGTATAGCGTGTAGTCAAGGGATGACAGGCCACTGTGCTTCACTCGGCTGGTAAGAGTTCGTGACTTCTCACGATTTGGGAGATGGGCGCTGGCAAGGGTTTGCACACGTTCTAGTCTGCGTGCTGTATCAATGCACGACACTCCATCGCAACTTATCTGGAAAACACTGGCCGGGGACACAGCCCAGCCCGGAAAGAAAGAAAGAAAAAAAAAAAGACAAAAAAAGTGTGGAGAAACTTGACCTGCACACGTTCGTACAACACATACTTATACATACTCACGATTTGTTTGCTGTTTGCTTTTTCGTGCCTGATTAGGTCGCGGACTACCCACATCGGTGATTTCTCGGACGAGCCAGAACTTAGGTAAGTACTCCCCAAAAAACCATTCCGATCATAATGCATCATGTCTTGAAATCATAACACGACACCTCGACTACTGGTAGCGTTTTGTACCATCCGTATCTATCTTAACCGTAAAACAAGATGTATTGTGTCGGTGTGCCGTGATAACTTCTCTGGCTTGGGCATTTTTGTTATGTATTAAATTGTGCCGATTTGAGTTTTCGGCTTGTTGCTCCGGAGTGTTTAGCGTGACGTTACGGGACACTTATGGGGCTTTGGTAGCGTGGCGTCGGGGAGAAAAATATGTTGCGTCTGGTGGTGATTTATGTTTCTCCAACTGCTCGTGCACTCATGACTTTGTGTTCTGATGTTGAACTGGCATTGGAATAAAAAGTAAGCTTTGCATGACTGTACGAGTTTAAGTGAAGTTCAAAGCTCAAATCAGATGCATCACGAAGTGGACGTCTTGTAGATAGTCTGTGTGCTTTGGGAATATAATGGACTTTCAAGAGAGAGTGTTAGACGATTTAGTCGTTCAACTTTCTTTCGCTGACTGGTCTTTCTTAAATTGATGGTGGAGCCAAGGATACATGTGGTTCTAATGCTGGGACTTACTCAGGAGACAAGTTGGAGATGAAGATGGATGATTGTGGCCGTCAACGAGAAGGGAAAATGTGAGGCGTGTGAGGGCTGGTATGTGAGAGGGAGAAATGGCAGCAAACACCGGTCGCGAGCAACAGGCTGAAACACCATGGTGCTCTTTGGATCACCGTAAACCCGTCTTATTCACAGGTTGTTAGACTTTAGTGGCTCAGTGGCAAGCGATGTGTTGAATATTGAAGCCATGCAGATATGCTCACTCAGTAAACCCATTTTAGTTGGCCTAAACGGTGGTCATACGCGTACATTGCATGCGCCGGCATAAACTGCCTGTTCCATAATACATGATTACTCCACGAGCTTTTACCGAGGCCAGGACGGAAAGAAGTTACGATTCTACGGGTGCCTCGGCCCTCGGTGCCACCCTGATCAAACCGGAGAACCCTTTGGATGGGATTTTACAGAGGAGAAACTGGGACAAGTATTAAAAAAAGGGTTTCGCACTGATTGACACCACGTCTGAATTCAAGTTCGCGGTATTTATAGACCGATGCTCCGCCATGCATGACGCAGTGTGCGCTGGGATTAATCCGGGATTCTGCAGTGTCCTGTGCGCCACACACACACAGTCGGCGGTGGTGAGCGCCGGCTTTCACTCACTGTACGACCGGCGGCCAGGACGCCCGCCCGTTCCCCATAGCTCGCGGAAGACAAGCCTGGTCCCGTCACCCGTGCACCGCGCCCGGGCGGCTCTCCCAGTCCCGAACTCTCGGACCGAGGAACACACTTGGCAGAAATGACGGCATCCCGCTGACAGAACTTTTGAGCCTCACGTCCGGGTGAAAGTTTTGGCCCCTTCTCCTCCCCGGCAAAACGCAGACGAAGGTCGTTTTTGTTTGGGTGTACAATCCAGCTGGATTGGTCTCTCCCTTATTTTTTCTTTCTTTCTGGGAACAATTCGACTCCACATAGGGGAATCAGAGCGTGTCAGTGGGCCGACCAGACGGCAAAGCCCTTCAGCCTTCAGGGTGTAGATTGGAACACATCGCTGGCCGGGACACACCACCAAAATTCTACCGTTGTTCACTCCACTGCGAGCAAGACTCCTCATCACAGTACACTTAGCCGAAGAGAGATGAAACTTCATAATTAAAGCCAGCACACCTCTGATTTGCCTGTTCGTCATTAGACCAGTGGAAGCGTTTATTTTCAACGGGAACATCAAGGCATTCACCATCCGTCGAGGCCGCAAATACCCATAGAAGTCTTCATTATCAGTACTTGCAGGTGAACTGAAGGATGTTTTACGATACTTGTTTTTAACTCTGGGACCGATCTATAAAAACAGTTGTAAGTTGCAGAAGGAAGCACAAGTGTGTGCCCATACTCTTAAGGCAAGGAAGATGCCCCTTTGTGGAGTGTGTAATTCGGATCCAGTAACTTGACCACAGCCTTCACAAAGTGACATCGGTGTCGTCGAACGACACGGCCGGCAAACAAGGCCTAACATCGATCGCACGCTGTGTGTAGTAGGTGTCGAATACGCTCACAGGCATCTACATTTTGGACTGTCTGATATTATCAGTAAAGCAAATTGAAATTGGGGAAGGGTTTTTCTTAAACCGGATATCTAAAATTCTTGTCCTTCTAATCACGGTGAATTAGATTGGACAGCATGAAGGAGAAGTCCAAGAACGCGGCCCGCACGCGTCGGGAGAAAGAAAACGCCGAGTTCTTCGAGTTGGCCAAGTTGCTCCCCCTGCCGTCCGCCATCACCACCCAGCTGGACAAGGCCTCCATCATACGGCTAACTACCAGCTACCTCAAGATGAGAGCCCTCTTCCCCGAAGGTGAGTGGGAATTCAAAGTCAAATCGTAATCCAGCGTTACACTTAATCCCGGTTGAAACAAACTGTGTACCTCAGTAATCCGCAGATTACATCCAGATCGCGCACTGTTGTCTTACCGTCTTCAAGTATCTGACAAACCAAGTTCTTATTTTGAAAACGAAATTGGTGTCCGTCAGATTTAAAAAAAAGAAGAGAATTATTATAATGCTGCTCAAATCACATACTTCGCGATTGATATTTACGTGATTGATCGTATCAGACTATAATTCATTACTTTAATTTCGCCATGGTAATGGATTCATTAATATTGATTCGTGCTGATTGACATGTGAATTCACAACGAACCTCAAACTTCCCCATAAATTGAGATTATAGGTTGATTTATATGATAGCTGTCTTGTTTTCGCCGAGTTTGATACTACGAAATTGGTTTATTGGTTTATGGCTTACAAATCATAATGCAGCCAAATGCTGATTTACAAGAAATCTACAATGACATTCACAAATAGCAAACAAACATATATATAAACAAATTTATTTTAAAATGAAATTTACATTTAGAAACAGTCCATTGGATAATGTATAAAAGAATTTGTGTTGATTTTTTTTTATATACACCACAAAAGATAAAAATATGATGTTAATGGCAGATACAGATAAGAGACTTCTACTAAAAAACCAGGCCACAACAAGTAAATTTCATGTTAAAATTCAGGCACGTAACTGCAGGAAAAATAAATTTGGAGACTTCAGTCATCAGAATCTGTTAATACCATTCACCATTTAACAAGCAACAAGCTATTAATTAACAACACCCCCGAACCACAAACCCCACAGACAAATTCTGTCCGTAGATTTATAGCTCCACTTTTGCTCATCACTTGGAAAACTTAACAAACGCTGAAGAATTTTTATCTTTTTTTATGTTAGAAGGTAAATACCCTCTAGCAAAAAAATAGCCAGCGTACGTTTTTTGGGTCCCATTTTTGTCCTTTTATTTAAAGACTATTTTACGTCAAGCACTAGCTATTACGGAAAAACAAACCTCGTAAATAAAACACAAGGACACTCTATTAGTATTGATGACAAAAAAATCTCTCACAATTAATGAAAGTCTTAAGTTTATTTCAATTGTAATCCAAAACGGTATATACCAACTTAAAATTGACGGCCATGGGGGAATACTCCACCAAATCACGCACCACTTAATTAAGTTTCTGGCACGGGAACACAGCCTCGCTGTGTCGACTTATGAAAATAATTCGCCAGATACCTCGGCTCGGATCTCTGAGCTAATATCTTCCGATTTCGACTTTTTTTTCCCCCACCACGTGTCCATACATGCAGCACCGCTGTACTACCACCGCCATGTTTGTATATATGTTTGTGTGGTGATGAAAATGGGTCCCCGAGTATATAACATGCAACCGGTTTTATATGTACCGAGATTGGATGGACACTCCACCGCGACGCGAGTCGCGGCGCTGCTACCGAGAGCTCTGTCCGCGGTGCAAGACAGCCCCGGTAATTCTATATTAGCCATTTGCTCATAACACTTCTCAGAGGTAATTCCCGTCAATTTGTGGAAGCCTCGGATCTCATTAAGCGGTGTGTCATCGCCCAGGCAGCTCTCGGACGGGGTATATACCCTAATCGGGGGTTTATTCCTGATCATGTCCTCTCTTATAAGAACTACGAACATGGTTATAAAATAACCACCTACTTTTTGTTATTATAACCTGTTCATTTAATGACCTCAGGACAAAAAGGGGATATACCCTGATCGGGGGTTATTCCTGATCATGTATTGTACTATATAAGAACTATAGTTGATATTATGAACATGTGTTATAATAAACATGTGTTATAAAATAATCACCCTCTTTTATCATAAATTGTTAATAAAAAAAATTGACATCGGGACAAATAGGGGGAAAGTCCTAATCGGAGGGGGGTATTCATGATGATGTGTTCAGCTGTAACAAGTATGAACTGTGTCTGATAAGAACATGGATAATAAAATGGCCACTTTCTTTGTAAAAAAAATATAATCATAAATCCTTCATTTTGATGATACGGGACACAAAATGCGATATACCTTAATGGGGGCTTATCCCTGATTTCATTCAATATTATATATGAACTGTAGCTGACATTAGGAACATGGATATATCAAATTACCACTTTTTGTTATAAATTGTTCTCAGCCCTGGTTCAATTCTTCAGTGTACACCTAGAAATGTACAATGACAGATATTTCTAGGTTAAATAAAACCATCCTTCTCGATTCGTAGAATTATAAGTAGGAATATTAGTACAGACACTTTCTGTGAATGAGTGATTTGAATATGAGCAGGGATATCTTCCCTTTTTCATGCGAATAAAACAGCACAGTTATGACTGTTATAAAAATATTACCGTCGACACTCGTATGTTATGATTGCCAATAGGCATTATACTTTGCTTGCCGAAATTGGGTCACAGCCAAAATAATGAGTAACCTAACATAGAGGCAAGCCAGGGGATGATATGAAACTAAAAGATATCGGCTATAATGTCCGACTATTATGCAGGTCAGCTGTAGTGGCGGTGGTGCCAACTAGCTATACAAACGCGAGAGCCGTCCGACGCAGAACCACTTACCAATATCTGCTTACACTTGGTACTTGAGTCGTATTAAACATGACCCCAATACCTCTTAAACGGCACGCTAAATAGCTCCCCATAACACATAGCACAGTGTGAATAATTTCCAACCCCCAGTCTAAATAACACGGCAGTCGCTGCAGGAAATTCCATGTGTTGAAGGATGATTCTCTTCTGTCAAACATTAACAGGTTTTCGTCGCTAGAGCGGTAGATTTTCAAGTTCAATATTGTCTGAGGACACTGTGTGTGTTGCGATGACACTGTAGTAGGAATACAACATTATGCCTGTTGTTACATTGGATCATTCCATCATTCGTACGGTACGCTGTAAGCAACAGGCAGCCGTGCACGTTTGTCACAATGATGCACGTAATAATAATGAGCCATTTTGTTTGAAATATTTTCCAATTATAAAGGAAAATGGCAGACATGTTCATTGTATACCGTGCATGTGTCTAGTAAGTGCCTGTTTTTGGTATTATTGTAATATTTTGTTGTGTTTTGTTGGTATCAGATTAGGCTTGATGAAGACGTGTTTTCCTCTTTTTGAAAACACAACTTCGGCACACCCCCCACTACCGACTGTCCTAAACTTTGGAACTTGAGAACCACCAAACAACAGCGTGACCGTTGTTGTGTTTGTTATTGTTGTTGTCAACAATAATACATCAACAATATGTTGTCAACGATAATAAATCAAAAGAATGTTCATATTTTTGTATCATTTGCACCATTTATGAAACTGAGTGTGATTGACAGCACCTGTACGCCAATTTATAACTTAATACCAAAACCGCATCAAAATAAACATTCTGTCATCGATGTTATTTTTGTAACGAACGGTTGAACGTACCTAGGTATCCTTTGCCAAAACCCAGGTGTTCGGCTCAGCTATTGAACCAAAACAAAAAACACCCTGACAGAGCCACGCAGATAATCTTTGTTTTGTTTTTACTTGTCTATACTGGGCCCATCGAGTCACCCTCTTTTCAAAAGCCCCCAAACAGAAGACAAGTGTTAGAGGTTTAATCGGATCAGTGCGGTATCACCTACCGTCAGAAGCCATTAAACCACGGCCTGGCACACCGGGGTGAGCCCGGTCTTCGATCGGGCCCACCGAGGGCCTTTTCATGGGCCGGGATCTTTTTTTGTCCCCTCTCTGTTCCCGCGGCCCGGCTAAGTATAATTGAATTCTGCAAGCCACTTATTGAGCCCCTATTAAAATTTCACACCTCGGACAATGGGAAGGTGTTGGGAGGCTTAAAGAGGGAGGCCGCAAGACAGATTGGCAGGGCATTCTTGTATGGACGTCCTAATAAACTGCCATATGGGTGCATTGCAAAAGGGCCCGTATACCCCATGCAAAGTTAACGACACTCTAAAACGTTGAGCCACTTTTGCATTTACTCATTGATGATGTCCGTATATAGGGAGAACCATACTCAGTACTCGAAGGAAAACAGGGTTTACGGTCCAAAAAGATCCAACCATTAGGTTTTTATCTTCATGCTTTTGTACATAATTAGGGGCCTACGTTCATCTGTATTGACTTGTTAAGGAGATTAGGACGTAGATATGATGATGAAAGCTTTTGAAATTGTATGCATTAGATCATGATTAGATCGACAATAATGGTATAATTTACGATTAAAAGCATATGGGATCATTTTGTTTTTACCCCAAAAGTAACCCACCGAATTAGTATCAAAAAGCTTATACTGGTGGGATTAAAGATCACACTGGGGCTGAACACCTTGTGAAATAATTCCGACTGGCTTGCTGTCATTTAGAAGAAATCAAGAATTGTAGGTGATTTCCAACGATTAGTCAATTGACTGATTTTTGGAATCGTGTTACGGTGTTTCGTGTTCGCATGGTTTTTCACTGTTTTCTCGAAAAGTGTGAGCATAAAACTTCAACAGGTTTAAGGTTTTCAACATTCTCCTTTGTATTTTGAGTGGTGTTATTTTTGGAACGAACAAAATGCATGAACATCTAATGATCCCATATGCCTTTAAGCATAGTGCAGTGTTTAGGGTATGTCTTGTATGGCTGACATTATGTAGGCATGGTTCTTGTATTGACTTACTGTCGTTTTCGTTGGATCTCGGCCAAGGCTGTTAAGTAGAGAACACTGCTTAGCAAACAACTGTATGTGATAAGCGAATATTCGCTGGGGACCAGTCACACGCAATACACATATCATGACATATTGGCTGGTAACCTTTCATTGCTGAGCGAATTTTTCGATGCTTACCAGTCTTTGGTGGATTCTGGAGACAGCTAGCTTCCGTATGGAAATAAGAATAGACATATGTGACATGTTCAATTCCTTTCAATGCACATTGCTTCAAGGCATGCAGGATCATTTGCTTTTCATGCATTTTGTTCGTTTCCATTAATAACACCACTCAAAATCCGAAGAAGAATTTTCAAAACCTAACCTGTTGAAGTTTCAGCTCAGTGGATATTACACTTGTCGAGAAAACAGTGAAAACCACGCACAACCTTCTGATCACCAACCACGAATTCGTTCACAGCACTCTTAGTTTCCAAAAGAAATCAGTCAATTGACTGATCGTTGGAAATCACCTACATTTCGTGATTTCGTCTAATTGACAGCAAGTCAGACGGAATAATTTCACAGGGTGTTTCGTATACCAGGACGATCTTTAATCCAAGTTAAGCTTTTTGATAATAATTCGGTAGGTTACTTTTGGGATAAATGCAAATGATCCTATGTGCCTTTAATTAGAACACGACCTTCCCGCACAGGGTGCCAACAATGACACAAAGACAACCCGTCTTCACACCCTTGTCAAATTCTCAGCCGAATAATAGAATCCAGTTAATCAAATACACCAGCGGTGTTAGGATTGCCCCCAAAAGTTTTCTCTGGTGACAAAAGGCCTTGTGCTAGCACAGGTGCAACCGATCTTTAGTTATATCTTTTTTTACCGGGGATTGTTGTGTGGTATAGCGGGTGGCCCTGCAGGCTGACCCCCGTGAGCTAGGTCATATTTACCCGTCTGCGGGGCCCGTGAGCCCCGGTGCTTACAGCGTTATACGGGATATCGGGTTGGCGAAGTGCTGTGTTAATTTCTAAGTTTGTTATTGAACAAGTTACTATGATTTCAGATGATATCTGAATGGAAGTTGTGACTATAAACAGTTTTTTGTTTGTTTGTTTGTTTGTTTTACTGTACTGGTACAGGTTTTATTGACAGATGTTGTTGAAAGTCAGAACTGTGGGCCTGTAGTAAGTCGTTGACTGTTAAAATACAATCCAAATGTACATTTTATTCAAAAATTACTGAACTTTTTTAGGTTTTGAGGAGAAGGTCACAATTGTCGGTCATTAATTGAGTAAAGATAAGTTAAAATTCATGATGATTGTATTATGAAAACAAAACAAAATTAAGAGTACATGCCTAAAGCAATTCTTAGCTATTGGCGTCCCTGTTGGATCTAGAAATGTAATTATTCATTTAGGAATTTCGCTTGTCTCTTTTGTGAGGTGGAAGCATAAATCTTGCCATCAAAACGCCGCATGTCGCGTTTTTTAATTCCCGATGTCTCGCCCCTCCCCCATCGCCGCTTACTCCTGCATGCCGCACGCGTCCTTTTATTTGCTTAGTTCCCCCCTCCACTGCCCCCTCCGTCCCACCGCGCGCGTGGAAGGCTTCGCCGGTTTTTTTTTTGATCAAAATATCCTGCTGTAGTTTTTTTTTTTATCTCCTCGCAGTACCCGCTATGTCCCAGCAAGCTTTTTAGCATAACCTGTCGATAACGGGGTTTCCTCTCTGCCTCTATTTGGATGTTTATGGAGAATTAAGCGCTTCCCTTGAGCTTTCTGCGCGGCAGGAGGAACATTGAACGCTTTTTTCTCTCCGATCCTCCCGCCTCTCTGTGCGCGCGTTTGTTGTCTTGTTCCAGCCTATAAGCGATGGTACATAACAGGGATGCGTTCTCGCTAGGGACTAGTCTTTATGTCGGTGGCTTGTGGGGCTTGTACGCCGTTGTGCCCCGTATTTATTCTCGTCCTTGTCCGGTCTCTTTTTTTCTCGTCCTGCTATCGTCGTGGCTTCAAATTAGATCTCGGCTTGTATTTTGAAACTGCTAATGAAAGATGGTTATACCCTATGCACAGTCTGTTCCCAGTAACAGCCTGTGCTAGATGGTTGTTACAGCAGTGTCCGGTACGATCCCTCAAGCAGCTGACATGGATATGATGAGCAGATCAAAGGAATAAAAAAAAGAAGCTTGTTGGCACTTTTCGCCTCAATTTGATGAAATATTAATGCGGCAAATCTAGCGGAGATGATCGGCGATGGGTGGGCAAGATTTAATTCCGGTCGCGGCTAGCGCTCTTTAATTCCGATGATAGCGGTCGACTAGTGGGAGGGAGGCAGGGGTTGGGAGTACAAAAAGCGGAATCAATTCTCGTGGACTGGGATTTCCCAACGGGCCATTTTACACTCTTTCTCATCAGATATCGCCAGTCACTCTTTTGACTTAGACTATGGGTTTGATTTCTGGCGAGCGCGGCTATCGTATAGAGGACCGTAGAGACGCGGGATAACAGCAGCCAGTGTCTGTGCCCGACTGTCGTCTTTTCTTCCTCCACTCTCTGTGCCTTTGTATCTTTGTCCTTCGTCGTCTGATCTGGGGTCTTTTTGGATGTCGCGAACAGGATTACAGCATATCCCACTGGTACCGCTGCCCACCGTGAAACGCAGATCAGTAGACCGGGAAAATCGCCACTTCTCACCCGGTGGCTTTTTTGATAGACAGCTGGTGAGTCCCGGGCGCGTTCCATGGGTTCTGAAAAGACACCATCCTCCTATAAAAATGATACCACGCTGACTCTTCGCGATACGTGCTCCGCCGGAGTTGAAATCCCCCTATTGAGGATAACATGGTCTAAAATTGATTACGATGGTAGAATTCTAGCTCGGGTTATGTCCCCCCTTTTAAGTAAAAGAATAGAAAATGGTCATTTTATGAGTTTCCAGATGTCGCATGTGAATCCCCGGCCCCGTAAAGAAGCGGCATGCAGCCAGATAAAAGCCCCGTAGGTGACAGGGATTCGAATGAAGTCTGAAGTACCGAGGGGCGCCGTTTTGACGGGAGGAAAAAATGACAGAGCTCGGAAAGAAAATTGGGCAATCTTTGTTTTTCTGCGACTCGTTGGCCCTTGACTGCAAGGCATTGAGGCCGCGATGAGGTCGTCATAGTGTGCCGCACTGTAACTCTAGCAAGGGTGAAACCAGGCCGTGAAATTAATTTTGTCCATGAAAGGAGAGAAGTTTTAATTTTGAGACAATCCTTATTTTTGCCCTTATTTAAAAGGGTAACCATGCTAGATATCTCTTTGATGACAGCATGTTGTAGTAGAGTTCCCACGTGTATATCTGCAAGTGCTAACCTTCAATACCCAAAATGAAATTGTTCGTACGGATTCCTGAACTGGTTACTTCAATAAAAGTGGTTCCCATGACCTTACAATCCCCGGCATC